AGAGAGAGAGAGATGAGGGTTGGGCAAGTGTAGATAGAGATAGAGAGGACTAGTGAGTGAGAAAATAAAAAAGCGAGTCAGGGAGCCCTTCCCCATCTCTCTGGAGAGTTTGTGACCACCTCCCGTGGTGGTATTAAACTTTCCCCATCTTTTCCCATGATGGGGAAAGTCGGGGTAAATTTTTTGATGCACTTTCACTCTAAAAACGGTTGAAAGCTACCGACACCATGAAAAGCGGGGAAACTAACATGTTCTGTCTGCTTTTCGCGGTTATGAAATAAGTGCTATAAGTTGCCTGTTTTCACAAGAGAGTTATATGGGTTTTGGGGAAATAGATTTTGCTGGAAGTTGGGCAGAGAAAGCGCTTTTCTTTTAGGTCCATTAAATAGTTTGAAATGATGCACGTGTCGACTTTTACTGTTTAACAGGGTGACCTGGCATCCCCATCTGTTCTTGAGTTGGGGATCCTTCACTCATAGATTGGGGTCCTATGAATCCCATACACGTGATGGGCTTAAAGGGTCATTATTTCATATATGTGGGTGGGTGAGTGCATGCATCTGTGTGTGTGTGCACGCTCATGCATGTTTGTGTGTGTGTGATCATTGTGAGTTATTTCATTCTGTATTTGACTTTTAATTTGTTGGACTTCTCTTTTCAGGTACGTGTGTGTGTGTTTGTGTGATCATTGTGAGTTATTTCAGTCTGTATTTGTGACTTTTAATTTGTTGGACTTCTCTTTTCAGGTATGGGATATGAGGAATACAATATCGCCGACAAAAGAATTCATCGGGCATTCAAAAGGTTTGTCTTGACAATAACTGAGTCGTCGAATGTTTTCCGGTTGTTGTGTAATTCATGAGACTTCTTGTAACTTTTATTCTGGGACTTGTGAGTATAATCGTGTCTTAGGATCTCATTAACATGATGTGGTTCTATCAGGGGACCCAGATTAACAGCTCCGCTGTTTATGCAGGTTTTTCCTGAGACATGTGTTAGATTATCTGATCTTTCTTTGATTTTACCCTTCTATTGTATTTGCTGCTTTAGACTAATTTTCGTGAATTTCAATTGTCAATATTGGATCTCCAGGTGACCTTATGCTCATTAAAGATTAATCTGTTGATTTAATGGTTTGGGCAGAAGAGCCAAGGCAATATGTTTTTGCATTCAAACCCTTGCTTCTATCCCCAAAATGAAGAAGGGCCTTCTTTCATTCATTTTCAGCAGCTTGATTTCCATTAATCTCATGACTATTCCATTTCTCTGAATTGTCCACTGAAACTGTGAATAATGGCGGCTGAAATTGAGAATAGTGGCTTTTCTTTTTTTTTTTTCTTTCTTGAGCATGGTTTCTTTCCACTGCATAAAGAAATTCATCTTTTTACTCCTTGATAAGAGTGACAGAGATTGATAGTATAGTGTTGACTATTGGTTCATGTTTCTGCCAGGTGTGATTGCTATGTCATGGTGTCCAATCGACGGTGCCTTCTTGCTCACTTGTGCAAAGGACAACCGTACAATTTGCTGGGATACATTTACTGGAGAGGTGAATATGTACTTCACTAATGGAAGATGCTCTCTTATTTGTCTGAGTTGAGTTTCTCTCTGACTTATCCTTTCAAAGCTGATATTCTTTGGTTTTAAATCTGTTCCATATTGGACAACATGCAGATCGTTTGTGAATTGCCAGCCAGCACCAATTGGAATTTTGATGTCCACTGGTACCCAAAGATACCAGGAGTGATATCTGCATCATCCTTTGATGGAAAAATTGGCATTTACAACATTGAGGTGAAATATTCCATTGTTAGATTTTGATGATGCACACTATTCGTATTTTCTCCTTGCCTATTTGATGCCAAAACTCATGCTCGTCTTCCACAGTGTTACATGGACACAGACGCGTTTTCGTGTCCAGTACTTTGGTCTAAAAACCTAGTACGGCCTCGATACATCTGTACAACTATGTATGTGTGTGTGTGTATATTATATAATTTTATGCAAGAAAGATTTTTTTTTTTTGAGGAAGTTGACTATTGTATTGATACTGTATAAAAATACAAAGTGAGAGTGAATACAAAATTTAGGCAATCCCCAAAACAGGGTGCCCTATACAAAAACCCTTAAGGGTAAAAAAGCTCTACAACAGATCCAAAAAATGAAAAAGGTGAGTGCTAGGGGGAGTCCAGATTCCCCTGGGGAGAGTTGAGGCTAGATCCCTCCCTTGCTATAGCGTCTGCCGCAGTCTTAGCATCTTGATGGCTGTGTCTCCAAGAGACTTGAATACTGCTGCAGAGGTGGGCTATTTCAACAAAAATGTAATCCAGTCTCCACGGGCTGGGGGTATTGCCAGATGCCCAAGCCATGGTGTTACTGGAATCCCCCTCTACCGTGACTTGGGTGCTCCAAAGATGATGAAATCTTCTATGTCCCTCGAGTAGAGCCTTGGCTTCTGCGACTGTGGACTCCTCGACTCCAACTCTTAAGGCATAGGAAAGGAGGATAAGGCCTTTAGAGTTCCTTTGCAGACCTCCAATGCCTGAAGGACCCGGGTTACCTAGGGAGCAGCCATCAAAATTTAATTTGATGGCCCTGGGTTCCGGCGGCCTTCATAAAGAAGCATGGGGAATCTTGTGGGGACTAATAAGATGAAGCAGTGCTTGCCATTGTTGGTGTAGATCTGTAAAGGAGAAGATGGAGAAGCTCATGTGTTTGAGGGCCCAAAAAGTGACAAGTGACCTTATCTTTTCAATAATGGAGAAGTTGGAGAGGCTCTCTCCCCTCTAAACATCCTAGTATGCCTCTCGATGCAAATAGTCCATAGAGTGGCTGAGTTGGAAGCTCTTTAAAGGAGGTTTCCTGAATTTTTCCCAGGAGTTCTAAGGCATGAGGAGAAAAGGTGGGGCACCAATAGGGGAGTGACCGACAGCCATTTGAATAGAAGAAGAAGGTCAGTCCAAGGGGCCAAGGCAACCTCACAATGTAATATAATAGGTGATGATTGTTTCTTCAGATTTGAGACACATGATACATATGTTTGGCAAAGGGAAGCCCCTGCGCTGTAGTTGGTCGAGTGTCAGGGGCCTTTCATGGAGGGCTATCCAAGTAAAAAACTAGATTTTGGGGGGCAAGATGGAGCACCAAGCCTTGGTAGCTATGGAGGGGGAGCCAAGGGAGGAGAAGATGGTGAGGATGTGTACTATCCTTTTGTAAGTACAACACGTCCAAGGTTCCAATCCCAGGCAGGCGTCTTATGAAACGTACCATGTCCTAAGAAAACAAGGCCCACCATGGGCTTTTAAAACAGCTGCTATCATTCTTAAAACATGCTTAAAAAAATAAGTGCCTTCCTAAGGTTTGATATAGGGACCTTTTGAAGGAAAAAAAGCATGTCTACTGCGTAGACATGCAGCTTTGTTTGTTAGTAAAAGTGACGACACTTTTATAAAACGTATCGATACGTACTAAACATCCCCATAATTAACCGACACGTACGGTCACCGTTTCGAGGGCGTGTTGACACATGTCTACAGGTCGACCGAGACACTCCAAATGGAGTGTCGAGGTAACACTGGTCGCCCCCAGTTATGTGTGTTTATGCAGTTGGAAATTGTATAATGTAGTTGCGTATACTTATCTTTGGGTTAGGATTTAGGAGTGGTTTGGCTTGGAGGCAGGTGGTCAACACTTCCTAATCAAATGTGATATATTTTCACTATCGCTAGGTTATTCGTTAGCATTGATAGATGCTTACCCATTGGTGGATATTGTTGTTTAGTGACTGATGAGAGTTTGGTATGCTCATTGTTGGTGATACTCTTGACTTGTGGAAAGGCCAGTTGAGTTTGATAGGTCTAGTTGAGTTGTTTGTTTATCCACCACTCTGCTAGTCGGCGTTGGTCAGGCTTCCCTGCTTGTGACTGACTTTCATGAATTCTATCTCCCTAGGATCCGCGAGCCCTGGATGTGTTTATACTTTGATCGCTGCTTTGACTTCAGCTAAATCGCTGACCTTCGATCGCTACTTTGACGTTAGTATTTAAACCCTTTTTCGCTTTAGCGTATAAATAAAGTCAAGGAAGCGAGAAAATCAAGCATATAAAGGCGGGTTTGTTTAGTGTTGATACGCTAAAAGCAAGTAAAGGCAACGAACGCTAAAGAGGACTTTCAAAGCGTCGCCCCTATACGCCTCAAGCTGATAGACGCGTCAAGCTTTGCCTTGTGATATGCTTTATCTAAAGATATGCAAGGCAAGCTTTCCTCGCTCTTTCAGCCTTCCTTGCTCCTCGAGCTTGCACCTGTCTCGCTCATCACTGCTTGCTTGAGATCTAGGTCTGCATCCAGAGAAGGGGCCAACGCTGTTCACGCCTTGCCCAGGCCGATTGGCAGCACTGGCCAACCGGTCCACGCTCCCGATCCCAAGTTGACATGATTGCTACAATCAACCGTGATCGGTCTTTCAACCGTTGATTTTGTCAAATGCTCGAGGTGGAAGCCTTTGATTTGCCTTTTTCAGGAAAATTATAGATGCCCCCCTAAGATTGTACTTTCTAGGCATTCACCCCTCTTTTCCCGCCAAACCCCAAAAAAAAAACTAAAAAATATTTTTTATTCCAAGGCATTAACCCCAACATTGTTTATTCTTGCACCCACCTCCAAAGTGAAAAAGTTGATTTTTTTGGACCAAAATACCCCCATTTTAACCCACATTTCTCTTTTTCTTATCACGAACCTACTCTCTCTAAGACGGTCTGGCACAAAATGTCTGGACCGGCACAACTTGAATATAGAAGCAGGTCCGACACATTTTGTGCCGAACCGGCACAATTTCAATATAAATGTGCCAGACGGACACAATTTTATTTATTAGATGCCGGTCCGGACCGACACAATTTTAAAATATCACAAGTTGGTTTGGCACAAATATAATGTGTCGGACCAATATATTTTGTCGTAAGGAAGTTCTGCACGTAAATGTGTCGGATCGGCATAATTTGTTAGAAGCCAATCTGGTACATTTTAAAGATCAGAAGCCGGTGTGCCGGAATGGCCTACATTGGGCATCATATTTTCGGAGAGAAATGTGTGTTGAAATGGGGGATATTTTTGTTCAAAAGAATCAACTTTTTTACTTGGGGGGTGGTTGCAAGTATAAATAGTGTTGGGGTTAATAGTGTGATTTAAAAAGTAGTGTTTGTTGTTTTTTTGGGGGCAGGGTGGAGCATTGCCTAGAAAGTGCAATTTAGAGTGGTTTGTGTAGTTTTCCCTTTTTATTTTTTTTCATGTTGTTGCAATTTCGAAATTTGAGATGTATTGGCTTTATCATGCCTTGTGATTTTGTTTTTAAGTCTTACATCACAGGTGGTTATTTTTGCTGGGAATAGCTACTGGAATTTTTGAGAATATGCCTGCTCGTGTTTACTGTAGCAAATGCCCATTGGTGAGATCGAATTTGGAAATTTCGATTTGACGTCTCGTGTTGTGTTATGGTTTTGTATTTTATTTTATTTTATTTATATAGTGGATTGACATGAAATTTTGGGGTTTACCTAATTTTAGTATGGCACAGACAAAATTGAATATTAAAAAATATTTTGAGACCTAAAAATTAACCAAACTACCCCTGAAAAAGATGGGGTTAATTTGTTCATTTTTCACTCATCAAAATATTTTTATTTGGATGTGCTAGATAAAGTCTGTAAATTCCCCAATTTTGGTGTTAATCCGATTTCTATAAACAAATAAATAGAAGTCTATCGCAAAATTTTTGGGGGGGCGTCCGATTGGCCCAGATTTAGTCTAGGGCGTTAGGCATTACTGTAGAGGAAAGCTAGTGGGCTTTTCCTATATATATGTAACATTAATTGTGTTAAAATAGCTTCAGTGCTCTTTGATGCAAGAAGGTTTAAGGAATTTTTTTGGTTGGAAAGCGTGTTGTACTATGAATTTATACTGTGCGTTACAAATTTCTCGTATTGTTAAATCTAAGGACGCTTTTCTTTCCCATGATGTTATCGATGCCTTTGGTCAGACACATGGTGTCCCTTCTTTGAAGGTTGCATACTGTCTTATGAAATCTGGAAACTTTGACTCTGATCTAGGAGTGACTACTTGATGCATGCTCTTATCAAACCAAATGTGGTTTTTATATGACTTGTTTTGTCCGAGGCAGCATGTATCATTGAATCACAACTAGGATTTGGAGGTGGGCCACGGGGTTGGGGGAAGAGTCGTGGTGGGGGAAGGAAGATTTTTTTATTTTATTTTTATTTTTATTTTTTTTTTGGGGGGGAGGGTGTTGGTGAGGGGGAGTATGACTTGCATTTACCTGTGCGCAATGTTAAGGGTTAGAGCTTTTTAACAATGCCTGTCCTATTGTGTACTGGTGCTGATGATTGTAAATGCAACTATGTATGGATGAACTGTCCAATAATTCCTGGATGCAAAAGCATCATGACGTATTCTATCAGCTAAAATATTCATTTTTTTCTCTCAGAGTTTTAGAGACTGAGATAATCTTCTTCTTTTGACATCTTTTGTTGGTTACTTAATAAAATTGGAACTTTTGATATCCTCTTACGTTTGTCGTGGTATTGCATGGCATAACCTTTATTTTGTTCCTGTGTGTTGAGGACCGCGTCTGCTTTATCTTTTCTGTCTAGTTGGATTAAGCTTTAATGGTGACAATAGTGGGGCGGTATGCAATGGCCAAAAGCCTTTTTAAGTCATGTTTTAGATTCTTTTTCCTGGTGCAGGCCTGCAGTCGATTGATATCTGGGGAATTGACTACATCAGGCTTTCCAGGTAACGTGTTTTCCTGGCCATCTTCTTTGTAGTCCATGCTGTTAAGTATCAGAGTCATCATGGGCCCAGTTGTTAATTTCTAAAGCAGACAGAATTAACAATGAATGAAAATTTGGCCGCCTAGTCAGCTTGACCGACAAACCACCTAAATGGTGGGTTCTGGGCGTGCATGCCTAAGTCGGTTGCCTAGGTGGTCAAGGCGGGCGCCCACCTAGTGCCGTCCCTTAGAAGAAAAAAATAAATTCATATCCACCCAAACAAAAGTAATCTCTCTCTCTTGGGTCCATGTGCTCTCTCTACATATGATAAGAAGAAGAAGTTGATGGACTCCAAGTCTTCGATGCACGGCCTCTCTTTCTCACACGCACACACAAAGATACACATGGACCATATGCTCCCTCTTTACATGCGAGAAGAACAAAAAGAAGAAGATAACCTCCAAGTGTTCGATGCGAGTTCCTCTCTCTCTCTCAACATATCCTCCAAGTATTCGAGATCTCTCTCTCACAAATACAGATCCGAAAGAAAAAAGAACAAAGAGGATGGTCTTTAAGAATTTCATGCGAGACCTCACGCACACACATACATGCCATTGTTAGGAAAACCTGGCGATCTAACCGGCAACCGCCCAGTTAGATCAGAACCAACCCCTTTCCGGTGCCGGTTTCGGGAAATTTTGGTGATCGACTTGTATTTTAAAAATAAAAATTTTAAAAAAATGTCTATAAAATCTCCAAAATAAGGAATTTGATTTGTAATACATTTTTTAATATTTTTACATTGTGTTCAATATTAAAAATTGTTTTGGTCATTAATACTCACTTTTAAATTCCATTTTTTTCATTAATTTTAAACTTCATTTGAATGCGTTTTGTTTTAATCATTCTTTATATGCTTTTCACATTTTAGCAGATTTTTTTTTTCATATTTTTTATTTTTTTTGAACAATTTTTTGGTCGCCCGGGACTTACCCGGCTAGAATGGTTGAATCGGCCGGTTTATCGGTTAGGCCGGTTAAACCGTTTCCGGCCGCATGTCCGTTTCTGGTTCGATTTTACGAACACTGATACATGCACATGCACATACACACACGAAACACATACACACGCATTTACAAAACACACACATATAGGACAACATATGGCCCCCACCCTAAGCCCATTCCCTTGGAGCCGCCCAGGTATCTGGGTTCCCACCTTGGTGGCCTAGACCCCGGATTGCGTAGGTGGATTCTCCTTCTTGAACATTGAGAATTAACATCTTTGCCGTTTCTAATGAAGCTTGGATCTCAATAACTTGTTCTTGAATTGACTATATGAGTTTACATTTCTCCAGGAATGATAACCAATGATCCTAACTATGGAAGCATTAATTTACATGAAAACCTGGGAAGTTTCAATTATTTATTAAAAGGTTATGGGTTTCTAACTTAACAAGGACTAATGGGTAGGTTACTTCACTGAGTTTCCGTTTGTTAATGTCATATATATTGTCATTAGAACTTGGTGATGAGGGGTTGCAATCAAAATATTCGTTTGAACTTTATTGCTTATCTACTAGAGAAGGGGTTATGAGCAAGCAAACACCATTTCCTTTTTTACTCTTAATCGTACTTAATCAGTCGAATTGTAAGTCTACAAATGTATATCACGTAGGTGTCTGATTCCATCCTTACTGGAGTGCTAAGAGCTTCTATAGTTTCATCTGTGATCACAAGAGATGATCTCAGAATGCCATCTCTTGGCAAAAACCATGGATGATGTTATGTGGTTTTCAACTGCCATGGACTAAACATTGAAATATTTGGCTACTTGTTATTAGATCTTAAATGTTTTCTCTGTTTACATGAGAGAGTGGTGAAGTAGTTCAAAGATAAGTATTCTGCTCTCTCAATTGCTTGCTGGATTCCTATTTGAAGCTTTCCTATTCCACAGACTTTGAGTTTATTTTTCCTTTAGTTAGTCCCATTTCCATCTGTCATGTTGATTCTTCCTGGCATCTTATCAACCGATGGTTTTGTGCAGTACATTTGAGGGCTCCTAAATGGTTAAAACGACCAGTGGGAGCCTCTTTTGGTTTTGGTGGCAAACTTGCTGCATTTCACTCGAGCTCTGCGGCACCAGGTGCTACACCGGGTACTTCAGAGGTAAGGATTTTGTGTGCTACGCTTTTCTAGTATATTTCTTCTTATTTATTGATTTTCTTCCATAAGCAGGTTTATGTGCATAATTTGATTACTGAAGACAGTTTGGTGAGGCGGTCCACTGAATTCGAAACCGCAATACAAAATGGAGAAAGAGCATCAGTGAGGGCATTGTGTGAACAAAAGTCTGAAGAATCCCAGTAGGTTTTCCTTTCATTGAAGCATATTGTGTTGTTTTATTTTGAAATTTCAAACTGTGGTTTTGAAATTTAACCATTTTCATATCCAATTTAAGCTGCATCTTGAAACTTTATACTTTCTTATTTCCATTACCTAGGTCATCCTATCTATTTTTAAACTAGATTTAGCAGAGTTCAAGAGTTCGATATTACTACTTTTTCCAAGTCCAATATTTCAGATGGTAAATTCATACCATCGCATCAAGCCATTTAGTTATTTCTTCGAATTTACTCCATTACAGATCAGAGGATGACAGAGAAACATGGAGCTTTTTGAAGGTAATGTTCGATGATGAAGGTGCAGCCAGGACAAAGCTTCTTGCCCATCTAGGATTCACTCTGCCATCTGAAGAAAGCAAAAATGTTCATGATGATCTAGGCCAAGCTATTGCTGAGAGTCTCAGCTTTGATGAAACTACCTCACATAGAGCAGAGATGACTGCAAGTCATCTGGCAAGAGAATCTCTCTTCTCCACGGACAATGGGGAAGACTTCTTCGACAATCTTGAAAGCCCTACTGCAGATGTATTGACTTCACAATCTAATGATGGTTTGGTTGTCGAAGATGTCATTCCTAACGGAGTGCAGACACAGGATGAAAGCGAAGGACCAGGTGCAGGCCAGGACTCTTCAGTTGACGAGGTTATTCAACGTGCTTTAGTTGTTGGTAACTACAAGGAAGCGGTTTTACAGTGCATAGCGGCAAACAGAATGGCAGATGCTCTGGTTATTGCTCATGCTGGTGGTGCTTCCTTGTGGGAAAGCACTCGTGATCAATATCTTAAGAAGTCTCATTCGTCTTATCTTAAGGTTAGGTTTATTTTACTTTTATCATATTTCAATGAGTTGATTTGGTTCTGCCTCAAAAGTTTGCATCAATTAATCCTAAATATCGTCCTTGTACTAAAGAAACTCAAGAGTTGAGCATCTGTAGAAAAGATTATATCACTATCTCATTATCTTAATTTCTTTTATATATTCATCTTTTGTACAGGTTGTATCAGCGATGGTGAGCAATGATCTCTTGAGCCTTGTGAACACTAGGCCCCTGAACTCCTGGAAAGAAACACTTGCCCTCCTTTGTACGGTAGGCCATTAGCACCTCTTTGTTTCAGCTCCATAGAAGTGAACTGCTGAGATGTTTTTCAGTGGCTATGGTTAATACTCTTATTTCACATGGGAAACGTTTTACTAGGTCGAGATATTCGAATAATTATTGAAGCATAAACCATATATATATATAAGTTCTTATTTTGTTCGAGCACTTTTATGTGTAACTAATTCATTTTGTTGAACGAATGGTACAAGATAGTCACTATATGAAATTAAGCCAAAGACAAATTAGAATTGATCCTATACAATTTATAAAAAAAGAGAGATTCCCACACCCTCCAATTTCATCTCAAGGCCCAATTCAACCATGAATCCACAAATGTTTTGGTTCTTAATGATCATACTCAAGTAAAGTCATATGACCGTTAGAAATCTCACAGTTCTTCAAGAGTCCAAGTCAACTGCATGCTTTCATGGGTCAGGAGGCCCCACTATCCTCTTTGACATGTTTATTGAATACCTTTCCAAAAATGGGCTTCTGCAGAGTGACATTAAAAAATTTTGAACAGCAAAGAAGAGCTTTAGCTTTGGTTGCATCGAATGCATGAAGTCATCGGTGTCTCATAGACTGTAACACCACCAACGTAATCCATTAATATCCCCCCCCCAACACATATGTGTGCTGGAGTTTTGCACCTGCTCTGACTTATAAGAAAAGGGTGAAACACATCAAAACTTGTGTACGAATTCAAATGATTAAAAGAGAGGTTAATATGTCGAAGGAAATTTGTTATTGTTTTTCTTGTTGATATGATTAGCTAACAACTTCTGCTCATTTTATGAGGAATTGTTATTCTTGGCTGTTTACAAGTTAATTGCTGTTTTAGCTGTGTTGTAATACGGGTTCATAAGTCCATGATATTGAGCATAAATTAAATTTGGAACTGTTTTCATTTGTCGTTAGTATAAGAGTGAAAGAGTCCTTGTTCGTCATCTTTTGATGATGAGCTATTCTTATGGATTACTTGGGTCGGTAATCTATGAGGATTAAGCTGCGCAACATATGTATTTGTATATATGACAGATCTTGTTGCAAGTCAAGAACAACTTTTGTACTTGTCCTTCTTGGTCTACTTTACCCAAATTATGTCTTCTGCAGGCCTTTTCTTTCAAGATAAAATATTTTCCTGGGGCTTCTTTCCGTATTTCCTTTGTTTTCCTTTTTGGAATAGTTTTGGGGCAAACCTTTGGTAGCTGACATTGTTATGCTGTGTTTATTCTTTCTGAATTTTTATTTTTATTTTCAATGGTGTGCAGTTTGCGCAAAGTGAGGACTGGACTGTTCTCTGTGATACGCTTGCTTCCAGACTAATGGCTGTGGGGAACACCTTAGCCGCAACTCTCTGCTACATCTGTGCTGGAAACATTGATAGAACTGTGGAGATTTGGTCTCAAAGCCTGAACTCTCAGCGTGAGGGGCGAAGCTACATGGATCTTCTTCAGGTACTTGTGCTGTTTGAAAGTCATGAGATTTTTTATTTGTCCTTGAGTATTTTCTACTCTTCTGTGATCATACCAACTGTTATGCTGACAATTTGTCACTTATTCAGGACTTGATGGAGAAGACTATTGTCCTCGCTTTAGCCACTGGGCGGAGGCAGTTCAGTTCGTCTTTGTCCAAGCTTGTTGAGAATTATGCTGAACTGCTGGCTAGCCAAGGTCAATTGACAACTGCCATGGAGTATCTGAAACTCTTGGGATCAGAAGACTCTTCTCCTGAACTTACTATTCTACGAGATCGGATCGCGCTTTCTGGATCAGGTTAAAATTCCTTTCAACTAGCTTGTTTTATTTCATCTTTTTTTTTTTGGTGATACACAATAATGCACACATGCATTCATGCATGAAGAATGAACCCTAGCATGAAACTGTATGATTTTTTTATGTTATTGTCTCGACTATTAGTTTTATTGGAAATGCTCAACTGGAAAATGTAGCAGCTTGTTGGCTTGGCAAAGGCTTATGCTCAAGTAATACACTTCAAAATTTTCAATTAGAAACTTCAAAATTAGGATACCTGAAGTGAAAGAAGCTATGAGAAATATGAAGATTGAGAAGGCTTTAGGACTAGATGGTATTCCGATAGAGGTTTGGAAGTGCATGGGGGAGATCAGTATATGCTGGCTTACCATGCTGTTCAACAAGGTGTTGAAAACAAAGAAAATGCTAGACAAAAATGGATGAAAAGTGTTGTGGTACCTATTTACAAGAGCAAAAAAGATATACAAGATTGTATGAACTATCGAGGGATTAAAGTTATGAGCCACACTATGAAGCTGTGAGAGAGAGTGGTTTAGCAACAACTAAGGCGTGAAACAAGTGTATCAAAAAATCAGTTTGGTTTTATTCTAGGGAAGTCAACTATGGAAGTCATTTTCCTACTTAGGAAACTGATTGAGAAGTTTAGATGAATCGAAATGACCTCCACATGGTCCTTATTGATTTAGAGAAAGCATATAATGGGGTACTTAGAGATTTAGTTTGGTGGTGTTGGAAAAGAAAGGAGTCATTGGAGGCTATATTGACATAGTGAGAGATATGTATGAGGAAGCATGAACTAGTGTGCGGACATCTAGTAGATAGACAAGTGAGTTCTTAGTGACAATGAGCCTATATCAGGGGTCAGTGCAGAGCCCATATCTCTTTGTTTTGATTATGGATGAGTTATCCAGGCATCTACAAGATAGAGTATCGTCGTGTATGTTGTTTGTGGATGACATAGTTTTGATTGATGAGATTAGAGGCGATGTCAATGCAAAGTGTTAGAATGTTGGAGGGATGCTCTAGAATCTAAAGGTTAAAAAATTAGCTGGATTAAGACATAATATATGGAACACAAGTTTAGTAATAGGAGCAGAAATGAGGAAGTATTTAAAGATTGATGGTCAAGAAATCTCTAAAAGAGATTGTTTTCGATACCTATGATTGATTATTCGAGAGAATAGAGAGATTGAGGAAGATGTTGTACATAGAATTAGAGCTGTGTAGGCGAAGCGGACAAGTGCATCTTGAGTTTATGCCGGACACCATTGAGACTGAAGGGGAAGTTCTATAGGACGGCTGTAAGACCAGCCATGCTTTATGGGATAGAATGCTGGGTGGTCAAGAAACAATATATCTATAGGATGAGTGTAGCTGAGATGAGGGTGTTGAGATGGGTGAGTGGCAAGACAATAAAGGATAAAATTTGGATTGAATATGTACAAGGTAACTTAGGAAAAAATTTGCAATGAATATATACTAGGTGTGGCTTTAATAGGCAATAAAATGAAAGAAAGTATACTTAGGTGGGCTAGCCGTGTGCAACGTAGACTAATACAATGCGATTTGGTTCAAGTAGAAGGGAAGGCTCTAAAAAGGTAAGGGAAAGGCCCAAAAGGACATGAATAGAAGTTGTGAGAAAAGATATGGTGACTTTTTGTCTTACTGAGGGTATGGCTCTTAATAGAGAAGAATGGAGGACCATGATTCATGTAGCCAACCCCAAATCATTGGGATATAGCTTGGATGATGACGATGATGACGATGACTTAGAAACTTCAAAATTGCACCACTTGACTGAGATTACAGCAATATATACATACCTTTAACTTACAAATACATAATCAAAACCACCCCAAAAGAGAGCATACAAGATTCTGAATCAGCCCCTAATTAATTCCACTCAAAACAACGCAAGGAGATTGGCCGTAGTCCCACAAAGTTACATACATATGCAAATAACATTCAAATAATCCCCAACTCGAATATATGGATGATGTAAATTACACATACATTAAATATATCAAATTGGCTTAATCTCAATTAAGTAAAGATCACCAAAGTAGTGCACATAATCTATTGATCATGAGAAACTTTTTTACATGACCAAGTTTGTTGATGACTTCTTCGATAATTCAATTCGATAACGAGAGGTAAAATGGTCTAATCTTAATCCAAATTGAAGGGAAGCTTAATTCTCAAAAGCAAAACTCAAACAATTCTCAAGAAATCAAAAAAGACTTAAGCTTTTAGAAAATGGTGGCACGTGGAGCATAGTTTGGCGTATGGAGCATGCAATTCTTAATAGGGTGCAAAGGGAAATTTGGACATAATAACCCCTTGTAAAAGCTCACTTTTAGAATGATGGGAAGGCAATTGTCTTGCTATTTATATTTTGCTATTTATATGGATCACAAATGCAGTAATTTACATTAAAGGAAAACTAGGCCAAGAGGTGAGAAGAAGGGCTCAAATCAATGCATACTCAATCTAGTCTAGGTAGAAATATATGTGCATGAATGGGAGAGCTATTGAACCAAGAAATAGGGCTTAAGGAGCAAGTCACCTTTGCTGTAAAATGGCTGGGACAGCGAGAGAACCATACCCAAATTTCACCCAAATGCTCCTTTTCAAGCTCCAAGACCAACTTAAAACATATGCTCCAAGGTAGGAAAGAAGAAGAAGAAGGGGGCATGCCTCTTTTCCTCTCCGATTTCTAGCTTTCTCTCTATGTCTTCAAAGGCCACATGTTCAGGTCGATTTTTTCTTTCTCGAAAGTACCAAAAAAAGAGAGTAAATGTGGTTTAAGACGTGACATGTACTTTTAATGTGAGGTTAGGGTTTTTGAGTTTTGCCTTAAGATGGAATAGATCTAGACCATTAGCGTATCAAGGCTTGGAGAGATTTTTGAACCTACCCTCCGAATCCACACCTAGCTATCATGATGTGTGGCTTGGATATGTCCATCTTTATCTCCACATGTATGAGACCTACTCCAAATTTTCCAAATAAATTAATCCCAAAAATCAAGTCAATATCATGATATAATTGCCCTTGCTTTTTGAATAAAGTGTGAGTGGAAAACCTGATGCTGGGAGAAATAATTAAAATAAAAATATTAATAAAGGGTGAGAGAATATATCCTCTCTCTAGGTCTGTAAGGGAGTCCCACCCCAAAGATCTTTTCACAAGACCCAAATTCTTTACTCAATTCCGATTCTTTATGTTACAATGAAGGGACATCTCCCCTTTAAATACACTTAGAAGATAAATAAATAAATAAAAAAGAACCTACAAAAAATAAACTCTCTCTCTCTCTCTCTACTAAAACTCATGTCTGCCTTATCAAACCACCTCTCCCTAAAGCTCATGTCTCCCTTATTAGACCACCTCAAGTAAGCCTTATCCTAACTAATCCTAATTAACATTTATCTCTATCTAAACCCAAGTGACATTTATCTTGTTAAAACCAACTTAATCCTTTGCCTAATATTAAAATCAACCACATCCCCAAAACAACTCACACACTACCCTATTCATTAAATAAGATCACCCATTTTAAAAAATAATAAAATTAAATTATTTTGAATTTCTGAATTTTCATCTGCATCAAAACCTTATGGAGACCATACCCCTCAAATCTCTACAAGACTCTTCCCTCTCTAAATTCAAATTGAATTTGAAGTGAAAAAGCCCTTTCACACATGTGATGCCATAAGCTCTTAAAAGTAACCAATGAGAGGAAGACACCATAAAAGCCATTTTAGATCTAGGTTCTCCATAGATTTAAAGCTTCTAAAATCAAAGACATTTTTTTCACTTTAAAAATACCAAGGCTTTCATGAAAAATATCATGGATTCACACCAATCTCTACACTCACACATGTGAGTAAAGTGAACAGACCAAAAAATACCAAAACAGTACACTAAATAATGAAGGGAGGCATCCCACACTAAGGCTGACGTCAGCCACTAGCATGATGTGTGGCTGATGTCAGCAGCCACCTAGGACCCCCTTGGGGCCCATTGGCCATTTGGATCTCATGGGGTGGTGTCATCAAGTATTTTTTACCCAAATAAAGGGTAAAGGTGGGTTTTGGGCCCCAAAAAAATCCCAAAAACCATTTCTGGCACTTTTCAACATTTTTATCAAAAGCAGCACTCGAATAAGATTTTCTTTTGGAAAATTAAGTCCTTACGGAGTTCATTCTGAATCGTTTGGGCACTCCACTCAGCTAGATCGGGAACCCCTAGTCACATTCTCCAAATTAGCTTGACGAGACCCATGACTTATAGTCTCTAGCAGGGGCTTCATGTCGGCTCATCAAAGCTAACCCAAGAGGGAACTGGGTCTCGAATGTAAAGTGCATTGCAAGTGGTCCCCTGAGGACATACACTCTTAGGACATGGGGAACTCGCTTTAGCACACATGCATGTCTCTTCTCAGTGGATTTACTTGAGCGAGAGTGGCTTCTCATTTTGTGATTGTCATATGCACATGCTGAGAGTAGGATGGTCAGGGTTTGGTCCTTCTCAGACTGGGCTCAAACACACATGACGAACAAACACATATCGCCATCCATATCTTGATCCAAAACTGACTAATCATTGTACACATATCGCCATCCATATCTTGATCCAAAACCAACTAATCACTGTATCATAATGCCCTGGTTCACAATGATCATGAGGCGATGTTACCAAACCTGACTAACGGAAAACCCTCAAACACTTCTCAGTATAATGCCCCTAAACTGAGCCTCATGATTTTGGATCCAGCAACACTATTGACACTAACTGTGGATCCCAGTTCACACAGATCCGGTGTGTCACACGCCCTCGGTCACTCCCATTGTTACCAGGAGCCATAGAAAATCTCGGTGTCAAGGCCTTGAAAGGTCAGAACCTCTACATGGCTCTCTTGGAATTGGAAGAGTCAGTATGTTTGTAGGTTATGAAGATATCTTATATATGCTCATGGTTTACCCTTTCACTTTTTTCCATTATTGTCCAATGTTATAGTTGTAATATTAAATCGAGTTTATTTTTTCTATTTTTGCTCATTGTTGTGAAATACTGTGTCTACTTTTGAATTTAATTCAAGAAAGAGAGTAAGATGTATTTGTATTGGAACTTTTAAGCTTGCTAACTAGATTCTCCTTTTTCTCATTTTAGAACATTCCATTTGTATAGTTTCTTTGGCCGCTCCTTGCAGAATGAGTATATGTGTGGATATCTCTAGTATTGGTTTATATTGTTTTGGATATTTAGCGACAATTCCAAGTTTATTTTGTTTTGGAACGGATGATTTATTTTATTTTTTTTAACCCACTTTCTTTTCTGGGTTGGCTGTTAAAATCTCATTACATGAGTTTTCCTTACATATAATCCCGTTCATATAGATGGTGTTGTCCTCCGAATGGGAGTTTAGTTCTGCAACTCTTTGTAACAATTCAGAATTGATTGATTCTTTTAGAAAAAAGCTTCCTTTCTTTTTGGCATTCGTTGATGTTATCTAATCTTGTCCTAATTTGTAAAGGCAAGAATCATATGCCTAGTGCACCTTCTTTGGCCAACTTGAAACTGTTTTAGGCTAATCCCAAGGAAACAAAATAGTTAGACAACAATGCATTTTGATACCAGAAGCATCTCATCTGATCTCTCTCTCTCACACACACACACACACAAAAGTTTGCCTTTTTTTATGGTTTAGGGCGTGCTTTTGTTGCAGAGAATGAAGGGCCCCAATCCTCGCCCTACGATAACATGCAACAGCAAGCCCAACCATCCCAAACCCTATATGGGGCTGAACATGTGGGCTACAGTGCAGTTGATAGTTCTCAACAGTATTATCAGGTACTATGGTCTACTTTACTGAAATTAGATACTTGTCAACTGATATAATTGGGGATCGTATATGTTTTTGAATAGTATAATTTGAGATCTTATTCTTCAACTGATCATTATGGTTAATTATCTTGCTCAAATGTGAGCGTCTTATTGCTATTAGATTCAATGTTTTTTTTTTTTGGGTGATTTATGTGCGGATGTTATTTATAGTCCCAAGGCTTGGCTTGTTATTTGGAACTTTGGCATGTTCTCTCTTGACATTGTAACTGCTAGGAAAAGTTGCCATTCTCTATCTAAATGTGCAGAATGTTATTATGTATCTATTTTGGCTGATATTTGAGCAAATACGTGTGAAGAATTATCTATTCTGGGTGATTCCTGCCTAGCCCCTTCTTCCTGAAATTGCTTTACTTTGCTTATGCCTTTATTGATGATTTGTTCTACTCTAACCACCTCATCAGTTATCTACTGGGAAGCAAGTCCCAAATTGTCACCCAACCTTGGCTTAAGGACAGAATCCACTGGCTTCATTAGTTGGTGTTCAGTGACAGGAGATGACTCCAAATTGTACCCTGATTGCAGGCTTCTCAGATACGATATGTATCCAGAATCAGGATCCTTCTTCCAGTAAATGCAAATTTCAATGGATGGAACTGATTCTGATAAGAAAAGCACCTTCAATAAATATCTAGCTTCCCGTAAGAGGATGTAACTACAACTATGATCCATCCACATGTGTTTGCTCCTCTTATACTCTTTTGGTTGTATATCTTTGCTTCCGCCTCTTAACCCTTTGGTTTTCCAAATCTCCTCCATGTTTCTGCCTCTTTCTTTTCTTTCTTCTTTGATGTAGATGTCTCTTTTTGTTTGCAACCTTTAAGGTGAAACTTGATTTCTGCTATTGTAATCAATTTATTACTTACCAATATAAAAACAAAAATCTCTTGCTTTCCATCAAAGTTCTTTCAAGATTTCATCTAGCACCTCTGTAAGGGTAGGGAGTTTCCAAGCATCTACTTGTCAACTACTAATTTTATAAGGGTCAGAAACTTTTGGATTGAAAGAAATGGCATTGATTTGAGTTTATTGTACCTTGGATCCTAGGGGAACTCCATCTCGGCTGTAGCCAGTTCTCCCTCAATTAACCACCCATTACTGATCTTTCCCCCTACACCAATGGGACAACTGGGGAACAAAACTATATGACCAATATTTAAATGGGAGGCCACTGGCTCCTTTGGTTATCTTACCTCAGATGTCAACTTGAAACCCTGACAGAGGGCTCTCCACCTCTCCCACAGAGTGCCTAATGGTGCAGGCACTGACGCCCATGTTTGCCAACCATCTTCTTACATGTTTATAGTATACCCTTTACACTCTGCTCTGCTGCTCCTGGTCCCATCTGGGACTAGGCAACCACTTGATGCTTCCTCGATGTAAAATCCCTCTAATGGGTCTATGTACCTCCCTCCATCGTCTTTCTCACTCTGCTCTGCTGCTCCTGGTCCCATCTGGGGCTAGGCAACCACTTGATGCTTCCTCAATGTAAAATCCCTCTAATGGGTCTATGTACCTCCCTCCATCGTCTTTCTCACCTTCTTCCAGGACTATTTTAGAGTAAATTTCTTGCAAATGAAACTAGAATTGAGCTTAGTTGTGTTTGGAAGCTGTATATACGAAGGTGGCTTTCTTTCTCTATGTGTTTGCTTATTATTGACTGTTTTTCATCTTAAGAGCAGTATTGACTGTTCCTTTGTGGAAATTGTGCAGCAGCCACAACAGCCACAGACCCATAGTGTACCTGGCAGCCCTTATTCCGAAGGCTATCAGCAAACTTTTGGTGCTTCATATGGGTCAAGTTATCAGCCCATGCAGCCAAGACAACAGCATCAAGATTACATGACCCCTGGTCAGTTTCAGCCAGCAGCATCACCCCAAGTATTCCTCCCATCACAACCTCAAGTTCCACAGGTAGGTCATGCAAATTGAAATTAAATTATATTCGTTTTTCTGGTATTTTGCACGTCAGTTAATATATCTGCTCAGTAACCTTCAGAAACGACTTCTGATATTTTGCATATCCGTCAATATATCTGCTTAGTTCGTCTTAAATGAACTGCAGCTTTGTTGTTCAACTTGATGTGCACTTTCAATTATGCTATGGAACTTATCTGTTAGAGTTCTGTACCTTGAAATTGAGAGTTACGTTTCTTTCTGTTCGTTGTGTCAAAAATTTGCAATTTGTTCAAAGCGGAATATGTTACTTTTGCAGATTGGATAAAATAATTCAGGTTTTTAAAATTCATCCATGTCTTTCATGTTTGCAATTTCAATTTGTTACAGAATATTGTTTGTATTGTCCCATGATTACTGGCTAGCTGTTTAAAGAAACAATGAGAATTCGTGGTTGTTTTGGCATAAAGTATTAGGTTTTGATTTAGGAAAATGTTGAATCGCACTAATGTTTTCTGGAGGAAATTTCCTGGAGATATCTTCCTGATTGTTATGCTTTTGAAAATGGAAAGCTGTACATATTGATTGGTAGTTTATTTGTTGCAGATGGAAAATTTCCACAAGCATGGTTTCTTTAGTGTATTTTCCGACTAAGAAATTAATTATTGCTTGATATTCTCTCTTTGTTTTAATAGGATTATAATTAGTTTGGGTGACATTTCTTCCGATGATTACTTTTTGGAATAAACTCCCAATGATATATGGGCCTTAAATTGACATGGCTGTTTCTGATTGAAATGGTGAAAATTTTAGTGTTCTTAAGAGAACTTGAAAAGAAAACTTCAAAAATTCACTTGCAATTTTGCGTCATTTTTGCACAGTGAACATTGTGTTAGGACATGATATCTTTCTTCTAATCCAATCTTTGTTAGTCTGCAAAAACTATCGTTTGATAACAAGTGAATTTATTAGTATATGATCCTGGTCATAAGCATTCCATGCGGGTTTTCACGGCTTCGGTTTATGGTCAGGTTAACCTTTTTTTATTTGCTTGTAAATTACAATTTATTTCTCAGATTTTGCATCCTTTTTTGTATACAGAAATCAAGGTTCTACCCTTTGCGCCACTCTTTTTTATTTTTCTTTATTGTAGTTGCATAACTAAGCTAAGAAAAATATTTCTGTTTTACCAGATGACAACTTTTACGCCTGCTCCTGTTGCTGCACAGCCTGTAGTGAGGCCATTTGTGCCCTCAACTCCGCCCGTGCTGCCAAATGCAGAACAATATCAGCAACCTTCATTAGGATCTCGTCTTTATCCAGTCAGTATTATTTCCCTGTTCTTGTATACACATGCGCACACACCCACACACAGGGTAAGAGAGAGGAATTAAATCTTTTCCTTTTATTTAGGGATCTGCAAACCCAATGTATCAAGTAGGGCAGCCTGGTTCAGTTCCAATGGGTGGTGTGCCATCTCAACCAGCAATGGTCCCCAGACCTAACATGCCAACACAATCCTTTACTCCTTCCCCCTCGCCTCAAGGCTTTACACCTGTTACTACAAATCCCGGATTTGTTCCAAGACCAAACATGGCACTGGTGCAGCCACCAAGCCCAACACAAGCAGCTCAGGCTCAGCCAGTTGCAGCTCCTCAGGCACCCCCGCCTACTGTACAAACCGTTGATACTTCAAATGTTGCTGGTAACCATTGGCTGTTCCCTTTCCTTCTTCTAGTTCTTTGTTTGTCTGTTTCTTTTTTGGGTGCTGACATTCTCTCTCATAGATATGTTTGCATAAGCACCATTGACGAGCATTGCCTTGGCCCTTTTTGTTATGGATGGAACTTAATGGTTTTATGTTGGCTATGGTGTTCAAGTAGAAAAACGTTGGCCTTTTCACAGTTTCAGTCTTTATGAAATTTGTAATCTGACACCCAATTGTTTCCACTTCCAATGTAATAGCTACACGTAGATGTACATAGAAACATGGTCTTTTATATTTATGCATACACATTCGTAATTTGCAAACCCAATCAGGTCTTATAAGATCCCCTCAGGTTAACCTGGCATGGTGCAAAATTGGGTCTGGGTCAATTTTGTTTTCTTAAATGCCTTGTAAGTTTGGAAGGATTGTTGTTGTTCATGAACCGGCTGAGTCAAATGGTTTCGTTCATGGGTCAAACTGACCCAAAGGAATGTTGAATTGGGTCCAATTCTCGCTTCTGCAAACAATGTATACATTCTGCATACACTTGCATATCATGTATATTATTTTCTGCTTGATTTGGGCAATGACCTTTAGAACTCATGTGCATTATGAAATGCATATAATTATTGCATTCTACTCTTTATTTGCTTTTTGGATAGTTCTTCTATTTTTCCCGGTTTCTCTTCATCACCATCCATCATTTTATATGAGCAAGATGATTTCCCATAATAGTCCAAAGGACTGTAATGTACATTCTCATGAAATTAGGAGGGAGAAATTCACTAGGAGACAATCTGGTGCATATTATGATTGTCTGATTTATGCATCTATGGTGTTGCTTGGAATGCAGCTGAACTCAGACCAGTCATTGCAACATTAACAAGGCTTTACAATGAGACTTCAGAAGCACTAGGTGGTGCTCGGGCAAACCCAGTGAAAAAACGTGAAATTGAGGACAATTCCAGGAAAATTGGTGCCTTATTTGCAAAACTAAACACTGGAGACATATCACCGAATGCTGCCTCAAAACTTGGCCAGCTCTGCCAAGCTCTGGACTCTGGTGACTATGCAAGTGCTCTCCATATCCAGGTAACTACTTCAGCGATCAAAATTTCAATTTTGATCTCTCTCTCTCTC